AGAGAGAGAGAGAGAGAGAGAGAGAGAGAGAGAGAGAGAGAGAGAGAGAGAGAGAAACTTTGAGCCAACAAAAGCAATAATAATGGCTGCTTCACTCACGTCCCGTGCGCGCTAGTCCACCCTGAATGGGGCGCAGAGTGCGAGTTCTATATACACACGAGAGCGGGGGCGGGGTGGGGTGGAGAGAGGTGGCGTGGGTCGGGCGCTGGGGTTCACCTATTACTGGCGAGGCGCACCAAACTGCCTTAACAAGGCATGCTCGGCGATCTCTCGAGAGGATTTAGCGCTGCGCTGGCGCGGGTGGGAGAGCTCGTGAGGGAGAGCGGGCCAGGAGAGTTGCGGGAGAGGAAGGGGGGGGGGGTGTAGGCCCTGGCGGCGCTCCCGCGGCACGGCCCTCAGGAGATTAATATGACTACCACCGTCTTTAACCAACTCCTCTCACTCCTTTCCCAACTCTTTACCGACATAATGCCGATTAGATACGCCACTCTCTCGCTCCCTAACCCGCAGCAATTCATCATCATTGTCATCATCTGCATATTTTGCATCGCAAACATGACGACAATAGTAAACACCAGAAACGCCAAAGAGTCCGGGCTTCTCTCCCCTGCCATTTGGGGCGCACCTGAGTGGCGACTGGCACTGCCGGCGCGAATCAATCAACGGTTTTACTCAGAAATTATCCTGGTTCCCCGGATGGAGCGCTTTGTTCCAGTTGGCGGTGCGTATTCCAGAGGCGGCTCAGAACGGCCGCTCTTTACCTCCAACCTAATTCCATTTAACTACATTTACCTAGTGAAAGTGTCCCCCGTCGTTTTCACAGTGGTAATGGCGTTTCGATTTTCATTTCCGCGCCTTTCCGGCCGCTTTGTGGGGGCGCGCGCCGAAGTGGGGCTGCAAACTACTGAGGTCCGCGGCCATCGCGATTGTTCTGCTTACCAGAAATCGCAAAACTTACTCCTTACTCCCCGGTAAAAAAAGGTATTAAAAAGCTAGTAGGAAGAAATCCGTTCTGGACAATGTAGTCTAACTATAAAGATCTCGATAGAGATTCACCCGAACAACTAAAATGATCGTGGACAGTCCACACCACCTTTTTAGGATACTCACATACATGATGAACACCAGGAAGATGCTGTTGACGACCAGCACCAGGATGCAGGGGGCCTGGATCCATATCCGGTCCGCCCAATGCTCTTGCCACCAGGGACATGTCTGCGGCTGCCGACCAGAAATATAAAATGGATGTAAAATGCGGCAGGACGACCAGGATGTGACGAAAGCAGACCGGGGCCACAGGGTGAAGGGGTGATTTATTTGTTTAAGGTTGTCTGCCTGCAGTACCACGGATCACAATACTCGGCTTATGTATTCCATGGAAAAAGGCGTTATGAGCATCCTGCCGTCGGTTCGGATTCCGCAAACTCGGTCCAATTTCCATGCAAGAGTAAGAATGTTTTGAATTGTATTCAACTAACTCACCCCTTCTCGTTCGCCCTGGTCCGGTGGCGGGCGCACGAGCCGTGTGATGACCCAGGCCACGACGGCGACGAGGGGCGTGCCTGCAATCAGACCAAAAATTTGTTTAGCATTTAGAACATTGTAAAAACGTTAGCAAATTCTTGTCAGCTGCAAAACGAACCCATGGTCACGGGTGGAATATGAGAACACACCGATATGTTGCTGGTGTGCCTACTTTATCCGCTCGTAAAGCGCCATGGCGCCTGCGTCGCAAAGACGGTATGCCAATAACCCACATCATTGCAGTGCGCTTTCATACATTTGATGGTACCTTGGATATAAACTACTATTTCTACTCTTTGTAAGAGAAACCGTAGCGAAAACTAGGATGGAGGAGGGAGGGGGGAAGGTGTAATGTAATCTATCACACCTTAG